TATAGGCTCCTCTCCAGACTATAGGCTCCTCTCCAGACTATAAAAAGGACTGCTTGTACACACGACCCTCTTGCAGAAGTTAACGCATTGATTAAAAGTTGGAGAACTTTTGTAACTAGATTGGCAGGCTGGATTGCTGCCGAGGCTTGTCTGAGTTGCTGCCAAGGTCCTTATCTGTTGTTATGCTTGGCTTTCAGCCACCGAGGTTTTGGTGTCTTGCTAATAAAGTACATTCCATTTAAATTTGTCTTGGCATTCGTTACTGGATGGAGGAGGGGGTCAGAACTCTATCTATCTATCTATCTATCTATCTATCTATCTATCTATCTATCATCATCATCATCATCATCATCATCATCATCATCATCATCATCATCATCATCATCATCTAATCTTCATTTCTTTCATGTTTCAGTGAAACAGCTCGCCTTCTCCAAAGCATCAGAGGGTAGATCAAGAAATAATGGATGGAAACTAATCAAGGAGAGAACCAACCTAGAACTAAGAAGAAATTTCCTGACAGTTGAAACAATTAACCAGTGGAACAACTTGCCTCCAGAAGTTCTGGGTGCTTCATCACTGAATGTTTTTAAGAAGAGACTAGACAGTCACTAATCTGAAATGGTCTAGGGCCATGATGGTGAATAGAGCTCATAACGCGGTTCACCATCATGGTCCTACACCATTTGTATAACGCAAGCTGTTGCCCCAGCTCAACTGCACTGTGCATGCATGTGCGCCTCCTACTAGCCAGCTGATTTTGGGGTCTCTGCCATGCATGCACGGGGAGTGGGGCACATAGGGGAGATGAGTGTGCCTGCCTGGGGGGGGGGATGCAGTGCCCCTCCGCAGCCCATTTCTGTTCCCAGGAGGTTGCAGGCAGCCCTACTAGGCTCCAAACAGTGTGGGGGTGGGGCGGGGTCACATGCACGGGGTGACAGCGTGTGTGTTGTCTGCGCATGCACAGGGGCGGGGAGAGTGTGCATGCACAGGGGCGGCGGGGTTCTACGGGAGGTCATGTACGCATTGCATTATGGGTGCAGGCGTGCATGCGCACTTTTGGCCCGTGATGACCAAAAAGTTAGCCATCGCGGTTCTGCTGCTTGAGCAGGGGGATAGTCTAGAAGACCTCCAAGTTCCCTTCCAGCTCTCTTCTAATTCTGTCTTTTGTATTTTATTTTAATTAATGTGATTTCTGTATTCTGCATGGCCACCTAATGACCTAATAAAGATTTGAACTGAGAAGTAGAGAGATCGGGAAGGATAAAAATCCAGATTGCCTGGGTGAATTTCCTCAGATGCTTTGCCAGAGTGGGGATTGGGGTCATGTGTTCACCTTAAATTCTCCCCCCACCATAGGGTCCTCATCTTGGACTTTCCCCCGGTACAGAGGAAAGGTCTGACAGAAATCCTGGAGACCATGGAATTCAGGAACTTCTTCCAATTCACAATTGTAGATCTGGAAGCAAATCATTAAAAAAAAAAACAGTTGGAATTTTTTCATATTTTCTATAGGTATGTTTGTGTGATCTATATTCTCTAGTCCAGGGATCAGCAAACTGCGGCTCTGGAACCGCATGTGGCTCTTTCCTCCCTCTGCTGCGGCTCTGTCACCGGTTGACCACAATTTTGAGAGGAGCTTCTGATGGGGTGGGGGGGAAGAGAAGCACAGTGCGCCAGGATAAGACTCTATGGCAAGGGGAGGGTTTTCCAGTTGTCTCCACAATTGATAGGGCTTTTGGTTATGACAGGTAGAGGAAAAAGTATGCCGCGCTAGGAGGAGACTCTATGGTGGGGGAACTGAACTTCCGGTCAGCTCCAGAATTGAACAGGTGGCTTCCGGTTAGGACCTTTGTGGCTCCCGGTGTTTTCTTTTCTGTGGGAAACGGGTCCAAATGGCTCTTTTGAGTGTTTAAGTTTGCCGACCCTTGTGCTAGTCCAACCCCCTGGCCAAGGTGGAAGACTTTATACCATCCTGGTTAGGGATGACATGATAGCAATCTTCCAATCCTTGAGGGGTTGTCACAGAGAACAGATGGTCTACCTGTTCCCCAAAGCACCTGAAGGCAGGACAAAAACAATGGAAGATCATTAAAGAGAGA